CGGCCCGGGCGTCAGCCCCAGCTCCAGGCAGCCGGACAACGGAGGACCCACGTCAGCCGCACGGCAGCGAGCGAGGACCTGTCTTAGCCAGACCACCAACTACGCGACAGCTCCAGCGGACAGCTTCAAACACTGAACATTCATGTTGGAAGATGTCAGTCGATATTCTGCGTTTTCGGTGGGGAACCGGTGTAGGCTACCTGTGCGATTCTCCGCTCTTCGCGGACGGGTGCAGCGGTCTCCGCTTCGCTCCGCCGTATCACGTTTGACCTGGTTCGTGGAAATCTTTTGCTGCGTTGGGTCGAGAAGCAGGCCTGCCGCTCCAGATCGGTGTCAAGATCGGTTTCACTTAGATGCCTACTTCTTCCTCGTTTTCTATTGCGGGGTCATTTACGTTTTATTGGTACCCTGCTATTCTTTGAAATCTCACAAGACTCGAAGGCACGTAGAGGCTATTCCTTCAAACCTCACAGCGTTCAAAGGCACATGGAGACATTTGGGCGTTTCCACAAATGTCAAGGTCTTATTTAAATGATTTGGCCACCTTTTGTCCAGTCCTTGGGCGTTACGGGGATGAAGACACGCACAAATCACATCCACCTTGGACGCTTCCATAAATCGTTCACGCCAGTGCTCACGCACGAAATGAAAGAGAAATGACAGCATTCGGTACAGCACGTCAGAAACTCAGTTTCACCCCTTGGGATTCTGCCTACGCTCGAACAGTACATCCAACATTGCAGCATGTTGAGCAGCTCCAGGTTACGTACCAGACGCCGAGCAGGCTGCCGCCAAGCCTTCAGCGAGACACGAGCTCTGCACGAGACGTGCGATGCAGTGCGCGACTGCTGCTTGCGGAAGCGCGTCACATGGCGACGGCGGCAACAGCGATGCCCATGGTCGGCGGAGCAGCGTCGCCACAGGCTGAGTCATCGGCGCCGTACCGGAGCTAGCTGAAGGTCGCCGAAGGTGAATGACAGGCTTTGTCCGCAGGCGGCGAGCATTAGCTTTTAACGACATTATTTGAACGGCCTGAGCACCGGGGCGGAGCGGCGCTGCCTGATGGCCGACGCCAGTGCCGGCCTCGCGGGGCCTGCCCTCACGACGGCAATACCGATTTGATACCGACCGACATTCGGCGGTCCTGACGTGCACATTCATCACCAGCCGTGCATGATAAACACGGAGATTAATGAGGTGACGACTAACTTGGGCATACCTCGTCAGGGCGCGAGCATTTGAGCTCCTCATGGATCGAAATGTCGAATCTACATTCCAGTTTGATCTACCGATGCTAAATACATTTCACCTGCTGATCGTTTTCATTTCCGTTTCATCCTATTTAGGAATCGGTCCTATCCAATCCACTGAATTAAGAGCATTCGGAAAATGGTTGGTCTCAGCGTTCATTCCTAGAGAGATTAACATGCAGTGTGAAATATTGCATATATGACCCATTACCAGCTTCATGGAATAACATGTCCATTAAAATTTGAATACCACGACGCCTGCGCTTTGTCCTCGACCGCTTCTTCAAAAACAATGTCGTAATTTTTAGTACCGCGATACAGTGATCGCCTACTGTATTATTTTGATGCCAAACCATTTCAAAACTATTTCATTGCAAATAGCTGTCCCGTAGTGTAACAACAAGTAACAATTCCTGTAGCAACAGGAAAGGAACCAAATAAATCAGCAGAATTTTTTTGTGCATGCTTGAATAGGGTGTCAGAGAACACCTATGTGCTAGCCAGTGAATGTTTGCGTAGTTTGGCGAGCGCCGCCTAGAGGCGCTCGCGTTCCCCTCCTCCTGCCTCAGGCGCCTCGTGCGAGGGACGCGGCCGCGGTGGCTAGGAGAGGAGGCGGAAACAGGAAGACTCTGGGAGCCGCCAGCGCGAGGACGGACGTGCCGGCGAAGCACACTGTGACGAATGCCTGTGACGAGTATGAAATACAGGAATGACTTCAGACGTACCGTGTGTACCATTGAGCCGCAGGCGACACAACGGAAAAGCGAGACTTTTACATTTTTACATACAAACAGGACGTTAAGATGGAAGCAGATGGTCCGATGAGGCGTGAAGGTCTAGTGCAGTGCTACGAATGGTCTGGGAAACATTGCCCACTATCTGACCCCCTCCCCCCGTATGTGTGAGAGAGGGCGGGCGTTGCCATGGCATCTCGTAAGTGAGAGATTCCGTTGTGAGTGAGATATTTACGTTGTTTGTCTCTCATTCATAACAGCACATTGTGAGCGAGAGAAGCGCGTTACCATGACAACTCAGTTGGATTTCTTCCCAGTCATCAGAAGCCATTTTGCAAGAAATGCTCTCGGACATAGACAAACACCTGTGATGCGACGGGCCTGACTGCCAGTGTTCGGAAGTGAACCGTAACGCCCGTGACGTCTGGTGACGTGACGTGATGCCGTCACGTCCGACGGCGAGCGGTCCGTGTGTTCTGAGAACGGTTCCGGCCGGCCGTCCAGGCGTCCCACAGCCCCGTCACACGCGGCACGCTCGGAACCAGCGGCACACATACCGGCACATTAACGACATGCAGGGTGCGAGGTGGCTGAAACTCCCCCCCCCCCCTCCCCCTCCCTCCCCCGGCGCGCTCTGCCCGTCAGCAGAGCGGCTCCGCCGATGCCACCACTGTAAGCAGAGACTGATCACTTTATTAACATATGTTGCCTCCATGCACCATATACACATTTTGAACCTATCTACAAGCTTGGTGCCACGCTTGAGGCGTTGCAGAGTTTGACGGGCATGACGGCTCTGGTTGTGGCCATGATTCCGCCGCCGCTATTTCTTTTTTGTCTGCGTGTTCGCCCTCACCCTCTGTGAGGTGGTACAGCTGATGACATGTCCCAAACATCTTAGTCCATATTTATTTAATCGTCTAGAGCACCTCAGAGACATCGGATGCAATTTTAAGGCTGTTTAATTTTAGCATTAAGCAGTTGTAAGCTATAACTGCTACAAATGTGCTAATGTTTTTTTAAATTTTAATCAGTGTTTAAAACGGTGTATGGGTGTATAGCTCCCAGGTACACGAAACATTTCTCATGAAGTCCTTGATGAGATTGGCAGCAATATCCCAAATCTGAGATTATAAACCACTTGCGTGAATACGCCAATTGAACCAAGCTGGGTCTTGAGTGACCTTTGACCTGTAAGAAGTTCACGCAATTGCTGCGTGTCATTTTCAGCAACAAATATGCACGCAACCAACCACTCAAATATGAAGCCACATGGAAGTGAACCACTTTCCAGCGTTTATTTGGAGATCATAGGAGCGTGTTACCATGGCAACTCGGTTGGATTTCTTTCCAGTCATCTGGAGCCATTGCAGGAAATGCTCTCGGACATATGGAAAAACGGGCGGAACTTCCTCCCATATAAATCCTAAGCGGGCAGAAACACACTCATCTTGACGTTGGTTATCACAACTCTCTATCGCCCCATCGGCCACAGCGCCGCTAGAGACATCCGCATCTTGTCAAATTAACTCGTAATAACGAGTGAGGCCTGCGTTCTGCTCTGAATGGACGATCACCACTGCGTCGTCGCAAGACCCACCAACGGTCCGAGTCCTATCGGCGGCTCCTGCCAGAAATCGGCGAGATAAGAGGCGTGTTCCCCACTGACAAGCAGCGGTCATGTTCAAAAGACCTATAGTTGGTATTTTTCATGTGTCCACTCGAAAATATGCTTGAAATATGTCAAAATTTCTCAGGGCTGTTTCCCTGACGCAATAATCTGACTTCTTTCGTAAAGGAGGGATTGGTACTGATCAACTGAAAATGTGCTGAAACTCGCAACCGCAGTGCATTGTGAATATAAAACAAAGGACGTCACGATCTAACCCGTCCATTGCAATGTAAGGAAAAGATGCCGGGGAAGCGAATGGCTAGGTGACGTCATCACAGAGTGGGAAATGGCCAGGTGACGTCACCACCGAGTGGGTCTGCCCCACATTGCGATAGCATTACCTAAGCATCACTCAAAATTTTGCGAGCTCAACAGAGGATAATAACTCAATACTTATCTCGGACGAATACTTATATACTTATCTTATCAATACTTATCGGACGAATACTTATATACTTAATACTTATCTCGGCGACTATGGTTTGATTAACTGCACCGGGCAGCAGATAAGAAAAAAGCTTTCCGAACATCGATTCTTCAAAGCAGACGATTCGCTGAAGGCCCTTCAGCAGGCGTGGGCAGCTGAGAGGTGACTGAGAGGGGTGGCGGCGCCGGGACGGGTGGCCGCCGGACCGGCCGGTCACGTCTGTATGTGTGAGCCGGAGCGGCGGCCGACGCGTGACCCGTTTCAGCCGGCGGGTCAGACGAGTGGGCGGTGAGTCGTGGGTCTCCTGGCGGCGATGACCGATTGTTTGGCTTTCGTGATTGTAAGGGCATGTGCTCGAATTTGAACGTCCCGATTTTGCTTCAATGAACCCGTCACATCAAGTCACACTACATCATGCTCATGGTTGGAATTAAAAAACAACCTTCAAGCCTGATCCACCCGACAATACATTAACCGGCACGTAGTCTTTCAAGTCCGAAACGAATGGCACAGTTCGCACTTACCGCCTGGAAAACTAATGTTGTTTTCTTTTCTCCCATGTACCAGCCTGCGGAATGAGGGTAAGGTAGTATTTCACGACACAGCTGTGCGATAAACTGCGAAGCCCAGGTCAGCCTCGGCAGAAGGTGCCATGTTTTGGGGACATCGAACCGAACGTCCTGGTCGTTCGAACCCTGCCCTTTCCAGACCAGTCGGCGCTAACTAGCCCGAAATGCAGGGCCTAACTCCGTAAAACATGGCCCCTTTCTTATCCCGGGCCGGGGCGCGTGACCGAAGCCGCGCCGCCCGCCCATGGCCGCAGCCTGACCGGCCCGCCGACTGATGACGTCACGGCCGGCTCAGCTGACCGCCGGTCTGACGTCAGGCGGCGGCGGCCGGCAGTCGGTGTTCGACCGTGGCCGCGTTGAGGTCGCCGGAGTGAGGCGGACGTGCCGGGCGGACCGTATTGGCGACTGGGCGCGTGGTGTAGCGAGTGACCGAGACGTGACCTGACCTGGTCAGCGACACAGCTGGAGACCGGGAACGAGCAGCAGGTAAGGCGTCGCAGCACAGCCGGCCCAGGCTGCTCTGTGTGCCGCTTACTGCACCTATCTGGTGACCTAGCCGACAACGCTGTCCCCCTGAGCTCTCTGCTAGTAGGGAAATGACATGGGTTTGACATTCAAGTGAGCCTTAGGCATTTAAAACGGACATTTTCACGCGCATCCATACCAGCGCCACCTGATCAAAGACTAATGAGAATGGCACGTCTTAAACGCGTATGTTTGGCGGGGGTGGATTCCGAGCTCTCGATGGCGTGCCGGTGAGAAATCACCCGGTTAATGAGACCGTTCTTTACCAAAACTGTCAGATGTTTCACATGGTGCAGTGCATGCTTGACATTAAGTTCCTCATGATTAAACATTTCGCTATGTTATTTGACTTAACGTTCCATTTGCGCATAACGGGGCCAATTCATTCATAGGTCTGCATAGGTCTGGTTTTTGTGCACACTGAACTCCGATTTGACCCAGCAATCGATTTACTACACTAAAAATAAGTTGTGACTACTGAATATATTTCAGTCGCAAACATCACCATTTGCCTGTAGTGTACGCACGCTGAAGGCATTGGCTGAAGCCTAAGGCGTGCAAGCAAACAGCTGTAGCTGCGAACCCAACATAATCACAACGGCGTGAAACTCCTGCCTCTTCGGCGTTAAGAGTTACTCTTGCGCTAAAACTAATCGACCTCCAAAATTCCAAAAGGTAATAGCTAAACGAATGTGCTCGTCACTCATATATATATATATATATATATATATATATATATATATATATATATATATATATATATGTGTATATGTATTTATATCGACATATACATATATGTGTATGCATATGCATCTGTATGTATATATTATGACAAACTCGACGTTTCTAGCAGTGCTCATGTTCGCACGTAACCACGAGTACAACATGGTCGTTCATGGCTGTAAGCATTGCTGGAAGCATCATGTACTCTTCCAATCAGTATTTATCAATTACTGTTCGATTTCTTTGTTTAACAGTAACATTTTCACCACATTGAAGGTCAGTCATTTTCAGCACGATATCTAATAAAACTGCGGCCTCTGTGTTCGGTTTGCTTACGATATCGTGAAGACATAGGTGAGGTGGGAATGTGGGTCACCCCATTTGCAGGTTGTGATGAAATTAACTGGAGCAGCGCCATACACCTCAGGATCGTAAAGGCTGTCATAACTCTGCACAGCCGGTGTGCAATCCGTTATTGGTCATGAAACGCCTCGAAAAAGAAGTGTCACATTATGTTTTAACACCTACTATTCTATATTCATATTACTATTCAATGTTTTTGCATTAATTTGCAAAACCGAGAGCTCAGACGAAGACTGGTGGAAAATGCGTCTGCTATTTTTCCCGTGGTCACAATGGCAGGAGACGTGCTCGAGAGTTGCCTCGCTGCCGTGAGTACCGTCCGCGACATGCCCTTACCAGCCCACGTCCCGCCCGTCCTGCTCCGGCCGGGAGCGAACCAATGCCATCGCCACGGTTCGCTCCGCTCGCTCGGGAACGGAGCGCCTTTCCGGAGCGTGGGAGACTCCGCTGCGAATCTCGCACGCTCTGCAACAGAATTCCGAGCAGAAAATCCAACCGACACGCTCTGTTGCACAGCGAGCCGACGCCAGACGGTGGTGCCTCGTTCCCAGGGTCCGTCACGAGCGTCTTCAGCTTGTCCGGGCCGCTGGTGGCGATCCGTGACGGTCTTTGATGACTTCTGGTTACATACAGATACACTTTGGTGTAGCTTCGTCAATGTCGACTTTCCGGATGGGCACTGCGTGGTGAAGAGCCGAGGGCCGCTGCTCGCTGGTCACTGACGACTGCCGTGGGGCCCGAGGCCGAGGCTGACCTGACGGCGTGCGGCCTCGGGTGGTGCCAATCTGACCTGACGTGTCGCCTAGGGCAGTGCCAGCCTTTCCTGACGTGCGACTCAGGCTGTGCCGGTCTGACCTGACGTGGTGCCTGGGGCGGCGCCGGTCTGACCGCCGCTTTAGGTGGCACCGGTCTGACCTGACGTACTTCCTAAAGTGGCGCCGGTCCGACCTGACGCGCGGCCTCAGGCGGCGCCGGTCCGACCTGATACCGGGCCGAGCCTTACAGCCTGGCTGGAGCGGCTTTGGTCGGCACGACCAGGGCTGGCACCGTTAGCCGGCTCGGCGGCCTGCGCCCGACCGTTAGCAGCCGCGACAGCACACCGCCCGCCGCCCGCCGGCCGAAGCCGTACGTGCACGGCTGAAGGTTGAAGCACGGCTGGGGCTGCCTGGGGCATGACAGGGCACGGCTAGGGGACGACCGGAAACGGCTGGGGCACGGCTGCGGTGGCAAGGAAAGATTATGGTAGCTGGGGACGGCGAGGAAGTGTTGGAAATAACCGTGGATAGGTGGCGTGGCCTGCTGCAGCTTGCCACGGACAACTGAAGTACCAAATCTTCTGGTCATGCCGCCTGACGACTGCGGTGACTGCGGGCGTCGGGGAACGGTTAGAGACAATGAAGTGCTCGGACCACACCCTTCCGCCTCGCCGGCTGGTGGATGACTTGAAAGATCGTCTACACACGGTCGTCAGTCCGCTGCGGGCGATGCGAACCTTGGGACACTGCCGTGTGCGAGCTGCAGCTGGCTGGGACGCCAGTCACGGCACCGAAAACACGCGGCCCGTGGTGCAGCTCGGCCGACCTGCGATGAAGGTCGACCCTGGAGCTGCGGCAGGGCGTGGCCCATCGGCTGCGCCGGTGAGGGCAGCCACCACGGCCGGACCCGCTCGCTCCGGAACCGCTCATACACCACCACGGCCGGGCCCGCTCGCTCCGGAACCGCTCATACACCACCACGGCCGGGCCCGCTCGCTCCGGAACCGCTCATACACCACCACGGCCGGGCCCGCTCGCTCCGGAACCGCTCATACACCACCACGGCCGGGCCCGCTCGCTCCGGAACCGAAACGCTCATACA